CGTCTGATTGAACCGTTTTCTTCACTTTAGAGCGTCTGATTGAACCGTTTTATTCACTTAAGAGCGTCTGATTAACCCTTTTTAATCGCTTTAGAGCGTCTGATTGAATGATTTTATTCACTTTAGAGCGTCTGATTGAGCTGTTTTCTTCACTTTAGAGCGTCTGATTGAACCGTTTTGTTCACTTTAGAGCGTCTGATTGAACCCTTTTATTCACTTCAGAACGTCTGATTGAACCGTTTTATTCACTTCCGAGCGTCTGATTAAACCTTTTTAATTGCTTTAGAGCGTCTGATTGAACCGTTTTCTTCACTTTAGAGCATCTGATTGAACCGTTTTATTCACTTAAGAGCGTCTGATTAACCCTTTTTAATCGCTTTAGAGCGTCTGATTGAACGATTTTATTCACTTTAGAGCGTCTGATTGAACGATTTTATTCACTTTAGAGCGTCTGATTGAACCGTTTTGTTCACTTTAGAGCATCTGATTGAACTGTTTCAATCACTTTAGAGCATCTGATTGAACTGTTTTAATAACTTTAGAGTGTCTGATTTAACAGTTTTATTTACCCTTTATTGTTCAATTTGTAAATATGATAAGTTGAAATTCAATGAGAATCTAAAACTTTCAGAATCATTAGATGATTTAAGCTCAACAAAGGCAGGAAGTCACTTCTGTAGTAGTTTTCAGGGGGTTTTGTGTGAAAGTGGGCAACTGAGTGAAGCTGCCCGAGTGTTCGAGGTTCAGCCGTTTGGGAAACGATTTGCTCGTATAACCCACTTCATCTTCATATCAGCCAAATGAGAGCCAACAATGGGAGCGGTCAGTTCAGCTAAAGCAGCTTCACACTGTGTGGAAAATGTCTCTTCAGAGCAGAATTTGGTGAGCAGGGTTGTGGGCAGGGGTGTAGCCCGAACGTTTACAATGGGGTGGCCAGTTCAGGCCCAGTATTTTTAGTGAGGTGGTAAACTACTAAAAGATGATTAAAAAAAAACAAAATGCAACAGCAGTTAATGGCATTCATCTCAGTTTAAATTAAGCCTGCACAACAAAAATGTTTGTTTAAATTAAGTGGTTATTTACATTTTGTAAAATAGCTGAAACTGATCTTCTTCCTGATTTTGATGAAGTTCAATGATTTTTTTTTTTTTTTGTCTATTTTTTTCCATCATTTTTACTGCTGAATACTCTCATTGGTAAAAATCATGTAGTCCAGAGCACAACATACCATAAACAAAATGCTCTACTAAAATGATGTAAACCTTTATGCTGGTGTCTGTAACTGTGTTTCCCTAATGATGAAGTCCAGCCTCAGCTGCTTCCTCAAGATAATGAACAAGGCTAACATCTGTTTGGTCAGAGCAGGAGGGGCAGAAAGAGAGAGCAAAAACAAAGTAGCCTATCAGATCAACAACACACTGATTACTGTGTATATCATTATCCGACATCATCACTGCCGCTTATCAGTATCTGTAAACGCTCACGAGTTGGAGAACATTTTTCTGGTGATTACTTTATAGATCAAAGCTGACTGTCTCATTTAGCATAACTAGGGTGGCCATATGTCACACTAGAGGGGCTCTAGCCACCTCTGGCCACCTCCGGCCACCCTTTGGCTTCAACTCTGGGTGCTGGGGATCTACGAGGGCCTAGATATTCTACCTTAGAACCCGTTAGAACTTTACTGAGAAACGTGAGCTTACTGAGCCGGAGAGACATCTGAGCAGCAGGAGAAACTTCTGCTTTCTTGTGATTCTCTCGTAAGTAAGTACAGAGCTATTAAGGAGATCTCTTTTTTAGGTTTTTCTGTCCTCTGGCTGAACTCAGTAGGAGCGATTATAGCAAGGGAAGCCGAGTGCTTTTAGAAAATCTTTGTACCCAAAACCTCACTAAGATATAAAAACATGTATTAGAACTTCTCAGACCTTCAGACAGATCATCACCACCTCACACCTTTTCTCTTCTTAAAGCTACAGGGTCACTGACCTGGTCAGTGTCCCTCACCATCTGGTTTAGAGTGACCAGTAATTGCTCTTTCATTTTTTCTCCAGAGGATGATCCACCCTGTCTGGAGGCAGATGGCCTGGACTTTGCTTTGGGCAGGTTTCCTGGGCCTGCAGTTCATCCTTAGTGCGGCTGAAGATGTTAAGGATGTCCAGCACAGTCCGGTTCTCCACAGACAAAAGCGAGAATGGAGAATTTACCCAATGTTTGCTTTTGAGGAATTACCACCCCAAATTCTTCCACAGCTAATCGGACAGGTAAGAGCTTCTAAAGGAACAAAATTACACAGCGAAAAACTCTGTCTTGACCAGAGAAATCATCTAAAATCTAGTTAACAGGACTGTTTTTCAATATGAAATTGAGGTAAGAATATTACAGAATTAGTCTAGAAATTTGTAGTTGTTTTAAGTGACTTTATCTGGTACAATAATCTCATTTTATTGTTATTAAATTGTGCTTGTTTTAGTAAAACTCAAGATAATTTCACTTATTTAAAGAAACCTGCCTTTGCAATGAGAAAATGTAGCTAGATAAAATGACTTAAAATGAGCAAAAAATAAAAAATAGGTAATAGTCTTATTATATCCTTACAGCAGTTCTATAGGCTGTGTAACTGACTGGCTTGAACAAAATATTTCTTAATATTTGATTTCATATGTTGCTTAAACTTTTATCTTTTTCAGCTAAACAACACCCGTGCAGGTGAAAATACTCAGTTTAAAATCTCTGGAGAAGGAGTGGATGGAGTGAATGACCTCTTTACTGTGAATAAGGCTGGAGAGATCTTGGTTATGGCCACTCTGGATCGAGAGAAGAAAAGCTCCTACAAACTGAAAGCTCACATCTTTAACACCATCACCAAACAGCCCCTGGATGATGACATAGAATTCACTATAGATGTACGAGACATTAACGACCACGCACCAGTCTTCACTGAGACCTACACTGGATCCATCAGGGAGCGCTCACGCCAAGGTACAGGACCATCTCACTAAACCTCACTGAAGGTGTTTTCAGTCTGCTAATGGCTTCATGTAGTTCTGTTATAGGAACGTCTATATGAGTCATAACACTCACTTTATCTGCTGCACTTCCACTTCTGTATATGCATGTCAGATTTAATTAATTAACATACTGGGATTATATTTTATGATTTATTTTTGCGCTGTGCGTTAATCTCTGCAAAAAATAAAAATCGTGCACTAAAATTTACAAAGACATTTAAAAAAACATGTAAGCTGATGTGAAAAAGTATTTGCGCCTTTCTCGTTTCTTCTGTTCGCTCATAAATAACACACAGAGTATAGCTTTTAAATGATCAGTGTGAAAAAGTAAGTGCCCTAAGTCAGGTCAAAGTTAATTTATACAGCGCTTTTTACAGCAGATGTTGTCACAAAACAGCTTTACAGAAAATCTGGGTCCTCATGAGCGTCGCCAATGGAGACAGTAGCAGGAAAAACTTCCCAAGAGCAGGAGGAAGAAACGCTGAGAGGAACCACGACTCAAAAGTTGAAGTCGTCCTCCTCTGGTCCTCACCAGATAGCAAACAATAACACAAGGGCAAAACGAACAGAGAATAATATTTACCATTAATCTAAAATATTATAGCACAGAAAAGGGAAAGGACAGGTGAAGCAATGGCTCTGATTAAATAGGTTGAGTCTGTGCAGCAGCAGCATCATCAGGAGGGTCTTCACCTGACGCCCCCTCAGTTACTCACTCAACCGATTATATTTTTACATACTGCATTTACAGGAATAACAATGCAAATGTGATATTTTTACAGGAACTGCAGTGCTGACTGTTAAAGCCACCGATGCAGATGATCCAACAACTCCCAACGGAAACATTGTGTATAAGTTGTTGAATGGATCACAATATTTCAGCATCAACAGTAACACAGGTACAAATACAAAATTACTAAAATTACTTTAATTTTTTATATTTTCTCATCATTTAAAAATGCCAGCTGCTCTTTACATTATGTGAATATTTAATGATGAACACAACGAATATACTGCAGGAAGTGATACCTGAATCAATATAATTTAATATTTCTAACTATGGGACTGTTAGAATGTTAGATTTTTTTACCTGTATTTTTCAATCCAGTATTATTCAACCTATTTTTACATGTTTTGATTGTCATTTAATCTACTGAAATGATCTCACTGCTGTGATCAAAAACTAGTGAACACACACACTAGGGGGCAGTGGGCACACTTACCCGGAGCAGTGGGCAGTCCAATCCACGGTGCCCGGGGGGCAACTGGGGGTAAGGTGCCTCGCTCAAGGGCACTTCAGTCATGGACTGTCTGCCAAGGGGATCGAACCGGCAACCTTCCGGTCACAGAGGCCGGTTCCCTAACCTCCAGCCCATGACTGCCCCTTTTTATGAATCCCATTCTAAATCCATGGGCATTCATATGGAGTTGGTCCCCCTTTGCAGCTCTAACAGCTTCCACTCTTCTGGGAAGCTTTCTACAAGATTTTGGAGTCTAGCTCTGGGAGGTCAGGGCTCCTGGTCAAGTTCTTCCACACCAAACTCACCCAGTCAGGCCTTTATGGAGCTGCTTTGGTCACTGGGGCTCAGTCATGCTGGAACAGAAAAGGTTCTTCCCCAAACTGTTCCCACAAAGTTGGAAGTGTCCAATTGTCCAGAATGTCTTGGTGCTGAAGCATTAAGATTCCCCTTCACTGGAACTAAGGGTTCTAGACCAACCCCTGAAAAACAGCCCCATATCATCATCCCTCCTCCACCAAACTGTACAGCTGGCACAGTGCAGTCAGGCAGGTAACGTTCTCCTGGCATCCGCCAAACCCAGACTCGTCCATCAGACCGACGGATAGAGGAATGTGATTGGTCACTCCACAGAACATGTTTCCACTGCTTCAGAGTCCAGTGGTGGTGCTTTACATTTTACAATACATTTACAATATTTTGATATTAGGCCTGTGTGCAGCTGCTCGGCCATGGAAACCCATATATCAATGTTCATTCCATACATATCAATGTTCATTCAATATATTTCAATAGCCATTCCATGTATATCAATGTTCATTCCGTATATAACTATATTTATCAATGTTCATTCAATATATATCAGTGTTCATTCCATATATATCAATGTTCATTCCATGTCTATGTTAATATATACAATGAACATTGATATACATTGAATGAGCATTGATATATATGGACCACCTCCTTGGTTCTACACTCATTGTCCATTTTATCAGCTCCTCTTACTATATAGGTGCACTTTGTAGTTCTACAGTTACAGACTGTAGTCCATCTCTGATACTTTGTTAGCCCCCTTTTACCCTGTTCTTCAGTGGTCAGGACCCCCATGGACCCTCACAGAGCAGGTACTATTTGGGTGGTGGGTCATTCTCAGCACTGCAGTAACACTGACGTGGTGGTGGTGTGTTAGTGTGTGCTGTGCTGGTCTGAATGGATCAGACACAGCAGTGCTGCTGGAGTTTTAAACACTGTGTCCACTCACTGTCCACTCTATTAGACACTCCTACCTGTAGATGTAAAGTCAGAGACGATAGCTCATCTGCTGCTGCACAGTTTGTGTTGGTCATCCTCTAGTCCTTCATCAGTGGTCACAGGACGCTGCCCACAGGACACTGTTAAAAATTCCAGCAGCACTGCTGTGTCTGATCCAGTCACTCGCACACATACAATATATTTGTACATATACATGTTTGTGTGTGTGTGTGTGTGTGTGTGTGTGTGTTTCCTCTGCATAATCAGTGAATACACATGTTTTTGCTTGTTTTAGGTGAAATCACTGTTCTGGATAGCGAACTCAACCGTGACACTCAAAGTCAGTTTAAACTCATTGTCCAGGCCTCAGATTTACCTGGTTTACCTGGAGGACGGAGTACAACCACCATAGTGACCATTAATATAAACTATATCAATGACAACATGGTAACCTTCAAAAAAGGTATGTGAGCTCTTATAATGGTGCATTTGGACATTCAGCACTCAAACGGCTGACAAAGTGGTCAACATTAGTGGTAAACTAGTTCCATGTTAGTTGATTTTAGCAGTTGTGATGTCACAACAGAACATTCCCTGATACCGCATGGATTCTACAGACTAAGCTGGCCAACATTGTGGGCAACCAGCACTGTCAGAATTTTGAATCTTAAATTTAAAATCAGGTAAACATGAAATTTTACAGCTTGCTTATGTCAACATAAGGGAAAAAAACTTCTTAACTACTCTTAGTAAAAAGTTCTAACTGCCAAAACAAGTTACACAGGTTATTATATCATAGGTTTCATTTTTACAGTGAAGATCATGGTAAATACAGTGACTAATTTCTGTATCATTTACATATATTATGATACGATGACTGTACCTGTAGAACAGGTGGGCTCTATCGCTTAGCAACCAACAATACACATCTTTACTGTAGTGAGTGATGCATCCCTTTTTTGAATAATTGTGAATAAATGTGAATAATTTACAGTGATGATTTATAACATATATTTACATTTTGTTACTCAAATGATCCAAAAAAGAACCACAACTTGTTTCCTTTAAGGATACTTTTTGTTTCACGTGAGAGAGAATGAGGAGCCACACTTCACAGTCGGCACGTTACCTGTGGAGTACCGGGACAAGAAACAGAACAAAAGACCCAGGTTTACTCTGCAGAACTTCAATGACGTCTTCTACGTGGAACCGGATGACCAAAACAACGGAGCTCTCAAACTCAGCAAGGTGACTTTACTCATTTCAAAACTACAAACCACGACAGAATTACAGACTAAAACCTCATTCAGATTATTTAAACATACAATGAAAAAGTGAGGTGATTAATATGAATTTGTAGATGTGCCGATAATCCAAAATCCAAAAATAAGTTTTTTCCAAAGCTACTGTTGCAAAACTGGTAAAAATCCCAATCAGTCCCACTAATCTTTTTTTTTTAATACATAAATTACACAAGAATAACTCAGCATGACAAACATACTAAAATTATAACATCTGAAATGAATAACTGACTCTAAATGTAGGTATTGTGATATAAACTGAGTCTGTTCTACAGTTTCTCATTAGGCTGAATGAATAACTGGCTCTAAATGTAGGTATTGTGATATAAACTGAGTCTGTTCTACAGTTTCTTATTAGGTTGAATGAATAACTGGCTCTAAATGTAGGTATTGTGATATAAACTGAGTCTGTTCTACAGTTTCTCATTTCATTTCCTCCAGAGCCTGGACTATGAGACCAGATCATTGTACTACTTTAAAGTGGAGGTTAGAGAAGACGGTATGGTTCAGGCTCCAGATAATCAGGGATCCACTGCCTACGTGTTCATCACTGTAACTGATGTTGATGAACCACCGGTTTTCAGCAAGGCGGAGTACACCTTTGACGTCCAAGAGGGCCCGATTAGAAACAAAGTCATCGGCTCTGTCTCAGCCAGAGACCCGGACAGGACCAACTACATGATAAAGTAAACTATATTCTATATATTCTGTTTGTTTACTGCTATAATCCACAATCAGTAGAACCACTAGTTTTCATTGTGCATTGTAAAATATGTATTGTAAAGTGATCAGACATACATAAATATTTATAAACACTAATTCATTAATGTGTTGACTTCCACAGCTGAGATATTACAGATATATTACAGATATTATAATGCTGATAATATAATGTAGCTCACCACAACAGGCTGGGTAAACCGAAGTGAGCCGAAGGGCTTTTCTGAAGCCCTTAAAGGAGACTATTATGCTTTTCTGTTGTTTCTCTTTCCTTTAGTTTGTTGTATCTTTTTGTGCATGTAAACATTCTGTAAAGTCCCAAAGCTCAGTGTTCCCTCCAGAGGGAGAAACTCTCTCCCACAGAACCCACTTTTCTCAGCTGCCTGAAACGCCTCGATGGAATTCCAGCCCTTTTCCTTTTTTACAGGATGACTCAATCACGTAACACAGACCTTACTGCCCGCCTAAAAGTGTAATGACAACCCAGTGTCTGAAAAAAAAACATCTGACACAGATGTTGTCAGCTTGACCTCAGAGTTGACAAAAACAGCCTTTATGACAACTACCACTGGCCTGAATAAGCCTTTATGAATGTTTATGTAGGTTTACTCCGGTTATCATGATGTTCTTACATCATGACAATTTGAATAAACCTTCTTTAGGGCACTGATGAACACTGCCCTACAGTGAAGTGTTACCACTAATTTTACACTGTATGTCATACAGCCTGCATAATTAGCCACAACAAAAATATGAAGGAAACTGATTGATTACTTCAGTTACTTTAAGTTCATAAGACCAAAGGCCAGATGTCTTTAGGCTTAGACACACCCATATTTTAACTGCATAGTAATTAAGTTGTTTAGGAAAGCAACACAAATGTTTTGAAGTCCTGAATGTAATTCACCTCTTATTAAGAAATTACTACTCAAAATTACATGAGTGATTTTTACAACAGTTCGAGGCAACTAAAAATCAGAAATACATCATGAGTAAGTGCCCAACTGCTCACTCATAACATTTAAGCTATGTTTTACTGCTGATGAGAGCACAACATAAACATTCACTTAAAAACAACCAGAATCATCGACAGAAATGTTGGGAAGCTCCGCCTACTTTGCTAAATCAAAACTCTAATAAATCAATAAGTAATCTATTGGTGGTTTACTATGTGGCTTTGTTTTCCTTGCACACATGCTAAATGTGCTAAATGGTCTCTGATTGGTCATTCTGCATGTCAGTCAAACAGCCCATTCCTATTAAAGTGGGTGTTTCTCTAAATTGCCCTGGTTTAGCTTGTTAGCCTGTATTTCAGTGTGGTTTAACACAGCTGGCAGTAGAATTGGCTCGTGCCTGTGCACTGAAGTTTTCCATCGCTGTTTTTCATTACTAAGTTCTCCTTGACTAATTGATTTGCTTTCCCCCAGCACCAACAAGTAGACTTATGACTTGACTTATTAGTCTTTACAACCCGAAATAACATCATACAGCTAAAAACAGAAGGAGCAGCTTGAAATCAGCAGTTTGGCTACACTTCAGTCCATGTTTATTGATAACAGTGAGTTATACAGTGTTAGAAACCACAGTCAACATTACTGAAAAGTGTGTGATGATTTAAGTGCGATGAGTTAGCACCATGCTAACTGACAGGTGTATGTATGCATTACTTATTAGCTATATTTGCCTCATAGCTCCAGTGTTAAAACTAAAGAAGCAAACTTCAGACACTGAAAACGTCTTGACCGAACATGTCTACTTTTGGAAAACTGAGTGATTGATTGGTGTTGAATGAAGTTTGTGAGCTGTGAATGAATTTAACATGTAGACGTTCTTTTATCAGGTACTCCATCAGGGGGCTCAACTGTCCATTGGATATAGTCGAGAATACAGGTCAGCTTGTCCTAAAGAAAGAACTGGACTACGAAACAGAGGCCACACACCTATGTAATGTCACAGCACATGAAATGTCTCTAAGGGGTGTAGGTAAGAGGTTCTCCCAACACTTACTTACCCTCCTGATAAAAAATGGAGCCAAATCTAATCTCAACACGTTTACTGAGGGATTATGGTCTAATTCATTGTGGAAACTCAGATTTATTCTTTATCCTATAACATTTTGGGGTCAGTTGTCATTGAATAACAGTGAACTATGCGTTCATACTAACATAAGAAAAATACTTAAAATATATGGGAAAAGGGGGAGGTGCTAAGAGAGCAGTATGTTTGTTTTTTTGTGAATTTATATTGTTACTCACTCAATGCAAAAACTTTAGATTTTACACATGAACTGTACAGTGAACTGAGACATCAACTTCATTTTACAATATATTTAAAAACATTTTATAACATTTTCTAAAAAAACACTAAAATACTATATTTTAGTGTTGCTGTTTGATTATGACTTTTTAAATGCATAGACTATACATATTTTGACAGTTATTATGCAAGAGTTAGTTATACAGAAACTGTAGAACAGACTCAGTTTATATCACAATACCTACATTTAGAGTCAGTTATTCATTCAGCCTAATGAGAAACTGTAGAACAGACTCAGTTTATATCACAATACCTACATTTAGAGTCGGTTATTCATTCAACCTAATGAGAAACTGTACAACAAACTCGGTTTATATCACAATACCTACATTTAGAGTCGGTTATTCGTCCAAATCTATAAGACAGCAGATTAAAGGGCTGATACACTATTTTGATGTTTTCGTATTATAAACTGTAGAACCACAAACATCTGTATCTGCAGTAATAATACTCTCTTTGTATGTACAGGACTAAAAAAGTATGTGACTGTTAAGATAAACGTTCTGGATATCAAGGACAATCAGCCAGAACTGACCAACATTTACATCTATGATGATATTTATGGAACGGTGAGAAATTCAAAAACATATTTGATCACTGTATCATTATTATACAAAATTATATCCTCATTATTTACATGATTATTCCCTTTAACACCAATGTGGTCGATTTATTAACACGTTTCTAAAGTTCCTGTTTCTTGAATCTATATAATCACACCTGTTATGAAAATGAGCTGTGCTCTGATTGGCTGCCCTGTATAGTCTCCTTCAGCCTGATTCGTTTGAAGTTCACATATTCTACATTTTTCTTGTGTTTTACTTTTTTCATTACTATTTTCCATCCTCTCTTTATAAATGTAAATGAGTTGACTTTTATGTCATCCATAAGTTTCCTTATGTGGTCTGTATGGACTGGAGAGTGAACAGTATGGTGTAAATCTATGTCTTGGCTGATTGTCTTTGGGGTAACAGGGGTGATTTATGCTGAGCTCTAAATTCATAATTATTTGTAAGTGTACTTTTTTCTTTGCTTTGCAGATCATTGGAACTATCTGCGACGAAAACCCTGGACCATTCTGTTTCATTCTGACAAAAAGGAGCTCCAAATTCTCCCTCTATGACAACCAAAGTGAGGAACATTTTCAGCTAAATTCCTAAAACACTGACAGACCTATTTAAAAATGTTTTATTTATGTAGCTTCAACATGTCATCGCTGTCGTATTGCCAAATGGTAACATTGTTAACTTTTAATGGAAGTTAATAAAAAAAATAAATAAAATTATTCAAAGTAACACTTGTAAAGGACAGATGATGTTTTTAAAATACATGAAAAATAAATCACAAAAAACATGCAACATTAGTTATTTTGACCAGATGTGAGATGATTTTCACTTGCCAGACTCGATCCTGTCCATACACAGAAATTGGATGTAGATGTGAAATATTATGTTTTGTGTAGTTATTAATATAATTGCTAAGTATGTCTAATAAATATTTAATTAAATGCATAGCAATAACAACTGCACATTTTCAAAGAGTTCAACTATTTTTTCAGCAGTTAGCATGATGCTAAGTGTTGTATATTGGTAAATAAGCCACAAAGCTACAGAGATGCTAAGTCTGAACGCTGCTGGTCTCAGTTGCTCTAAAGTGATTTGTTACCCTGTTCTTCAGTGGTCAGGACCCCCATGGACCCTCACAGAGCAGGTACTATTTGGGTGGTGGGTCCATGGGGGTCCTGACCACTGAAGAACAGGGTCAAAGGGGGCTAACAAAGTATCAGAGAAACAGATGGACTACAGTCTGTAACTGTAGAACTACAAACAGAACTGGTTTAATATACTGTTGATTTGAACTGTTTGGGGTTGGACATGAGCTGGTTGACTAACACTGATATGTTTACCTTAACAAATAAATAAATGCAGCTGATTGTGTTTCTCTGACGTTTGCAGACAAAATTGCCACCATTGTGTTGCCTCCACACCATAGCACCAATCCTTCAGAAGAAAACATTCTAGAGATTCAGAAGAGCGTCAACCAGTTACACATCCGAGTATGGGCGTGTCTGAAAGACAGACAGCCCAATTACATTACAGCCCACTCCCACACCGGGGTCAGCCCTCATTACCATCCTGCTCTGCACCGTCACCATCCTGGGTAAGATCAGCTACATGCTGCAGACACACTGCACCAGCAAAGACAGGGTGTTTCAACTTCACAACCAGACACATAGGACAGATGTAGCAAGCAAAGTTTATTTATATAGCGCTTTTTACAACGGGTTTTGTCACAAAGCAGCTTTACAGAAAAATCTGCATTACAGTAAGAAAATCCGGGTCCGAGCCCCCATGAGCGTCGCCAGTGGCAAGGAAAAACTCCCTAAGAGAAACTGGAAGAAACCTTGAGAGGAACCAAGACTCAGAAGGGGAACCCCTCCTTCTCTGGTCAACATTGGATAGTAAACAGCGTTAGTATAAGTATTATAGTACAAAGCAGGAAAAACAGGTGGGGCAAAGGTTAATTTGATTAGTTTATGACTATGAAGTGGCAGCAGCAGCATCTGAGGGTCAGGACTGCACAGTGTTGTATGAAGCTCAATGGTGGTCAAGCCGGTCCAGCATGAAGTTCAATGGTGGTCAAGCCGGTCCAGAAGGCTGGCGATCACAGATTACAGTGTTATCGGAGCAGCAGAGACTCCAGCAGGTCTAGACCTAACAGGGAAGACTAATTACCAAAGGCTTGACTATACAAGTTTTTAGCCTAGACTTAAAGACTGAGGCTGTGTCTGAGTCCCGAACATTAACAGGAAGATTATTCTGTAGCAAGTGCTCTTCTATAGTCTATAAGGCTCTCCTTCCAGGCGGACTGGAACACTTCTAGCTTAGTGAGGCGCCACTGTCGCTCTAGTTGTCTGGCAGTCTGTTTTAAAGCCTGAGTATGATCATTATACCATGGGGCCGCTTTTTCTGCCTTACTATTGTACCTTTAATGGAGCCACACTATCTAGAGTAGATCGAAAAGTATCCTCTAAGAACTTGGTCATAATATCTAACTCGGTAGGATTAGATGGACAGCTGACAGAAGCTGATAGTTGAGGAAGGTTTCTGATAAAGCTACCAGCTGTGGAGGAAGTTATAGTCTGCTTAACACAATAGCATAGTGATGAACACACATTAGCACTAAAGTGAATTTCGTATGAGATTAGGTAATGATCTGAGACTGCTGTGCTCTGGCTAAGTTATCTATGTCTACACCAAAGGTCAGTATTAAGTCTACAGTGTAGTTGTGGTAGAGTGTGGGCCCCTTTATATTTTGGGTGAAACCTACGGAGTCTATGATAGATATAAATGCCTTACTTAGTGCATCTTGGGATTGTCAAAGTGGATATTAAAATCTCCGACAATTATTATTTTACTTGAAAACGTTATTAAACTTAATAGAAACTCAGAGAATTCCTGTAAAAACTGAGAATAAGTAAACTGTAATTAGTGAAAAGGAATTTTATTTTTTACTCGATCACCAGAATGTGAATTTGAGGGGGAACTGAATCGGATACAGCACCAGCAGCAGCTTTTGTTTACGGTTTGTTTTTACAGTTTTCTTACCTATTTTTAGAAGACAGCAAAGTATGTGTAGGACTGTGATAAGCCATATCGATTTGAACCAGAATACACAAATGAGTTGCAGCGGCTTGAAGAAGAGAGCAAGAGAGAGAGAGAGAGAGAGAGAGAGAGAGAGAGACAGACAGACTGAACCTGCTGGTGCCGAAGTAGAAGAACCCAGGGAGAATGGAAATCGGTGGCATCAACAACAAACTACTTGCTGCTGTGCTCACCAGTTTATGGGAGAGAGCAAGGAGTGACTGATCTATCACAGCTTCTCTGATGAATAATGTTACTGATGCAACAGTGCCAACCCAAACAACACAAAAGGCATACAAGGCAGAGAGGTTCATGCAGGGTGCTGTAAGGAAAAACATATCTTTCCAAATTTAGCATTATTTTACCATTATCAGCATGACATCTAACAACTTATAAGACACATGTAAGTTCACTGGTCATTTGGAGAGCAGATAAAATGTTAGTTCCAGTGAAGGGAACTCTTAATGCTTCAGCAGACCAAGAGATTTTGGACAAGTTCATGCTCCCAACTTTGTGGGAACAGTTTGGGGAGTTTGGCCCCTTCCTGTTCCAACATGACTGCGCACCAGTGCACAAAGCAAGGTCCATAAAGACATGGATGAGTGAGTTTGGTGTGGAAGAACTTGACTGGCCTGCACAGAGTCCTGACCTCAACCCAATAGAACACCTTTGGGATGAATTAGAGCGGAGACTGCGAGCCAGGCCTTCTCGTCTAACATCAGTGTCTGACCTCACAAATGCACTTCTGGAAGAATGCTCAAAAATTCCCATAAACACTCCTAAACCTTGTGGAAAGCCTGTGTGTATTCTGCATTACACCAGTTTTTCAGCAGTGATCAGTGATTTTATTAATAAACTTTGTGAATATTTTATCCATACTTTAGGACCCTTAGGGTGTTATATTGTTGTCCTGCTCTCACGTGTCTCTCTCTCACTCTCTCTCTCTCTCTCTTTTGTTCCACCTCTCCTTCCACTAGGACCACAGCTTGGAGTCCACTGATTGCTTGCAGCAGGGGGTGCCCCAGCTACACTAAGGCCAGAGTAAAACAAGATGGTTGTAGCTTCACTTGTTGCATCTTGCATCTATCTTGTACCTGCCCACTGAAAAGAACAGACCAAACCAGACCTCTGTGTAGTTTACTGTAGCCTTTACTTCATGTTACTTTTTATCATGAATAATGTAACTCTATTTTGAAAGTAGGGGTCAACACCTACAAAACAGCCGACTATATGTAAGTTAGTTAGCTTTTGTCCTCTAGCTTATAAGTAACAAACAAAATATTAAAATATATCATATTATTCCCACTGCATGTCCTAAATATTTAGTGTATAGACACTGAACATTCCATCCCCTGTAACTCTGACCAGCATTTCTTCTTCTAGCACCTCACTCACCTGCTTTATTACCCCACTTATCTGACTGTTAACTCACTTATCCCAATGTGACAGTTTGCAGAATGTGAGGTGTGATGTGTGGTAGAATGCACATTCTATTTTATACTTATTTTTATTTATTTTTATTTTATTTACTACTGTTGTTTACTATCTGGTGTGATCCAGAGGAGGATGGGTTCCACTTTTGAGTCTTGGTTCCTCTCAAGGTTTCTTCCTCTTAGGGAGTTTGTTCTTGTCACTCATGGGAGCTCAGACTGGGATTTTTCTGTAAAGCTGCTTTGTATGGATGTCTGGAGATGCCATGAGCTGTTGCTGTAGCTCATCGGCTGATTGGTTGCGTTGGTCATCCTTTAGTCCTTCATCAGTGGTCTCAGGACGCTGCCCACAGGACGCTGTTGGCTGGATATTTTTGGTTGGTGGACTATTCTCAGTCCAGTAGTGACACTGAGGTGTTTAAAAACTCCAGCAGCACTGCTGTGTCTGATCCACTCAGACCAGCGCAACACACACTAATACACCACCACCACGCCAATGTTACTGCAGTGCTATGAATGATCCACCACCCATTAGCACCTGTTCTGTGTTTATATTTAACAGAGATATAGATGCAGCGTGGCCGCTTGGGAAATGGTCATGTAGAAATTACTTTTGACCAATTCTGTTACATAAAGCCACTCAAGTAATAAGTAGACCTCAAGAAAAAAAATACAATTAAATGTGTGATATAGTCCCTTTAAGCAATGGCCGCTGGCAAAAAATAATCTGTTTACTGTAGTCACTAAAACATGAGGTTTAGGCGATTTAATCTCATGTCTTTGTTTGAATGACAGTTTTATTTACACTAGATTACACTATTCCTTTAATTAATTCAGTGCAAAAATTTAACAGACATTAGATAATTTAGATGTTTCTGTTTTTCTGATGATACGTAATCAGGTAGCAAATAGAGTAAAATACGGTGTTCTGCCTGGCTCTGCCATTGTTGCTGCTTAGTGAGTTTTGTTCCCACAGCTACGGTTTTAAGACATTTTTTTTTCAGCATGGCTTTCCTACCAACTGTCTCCTTTTACTTGTCATAGCAGTGACACTGAGCTGTGCCAGTGCAACAGGCACAGCAGTGTTGCTATGTACACTTATCGGCCACTTTATCAGATATCTGTATCTGATAATGAGTGTAATAAGGTATGTGGACCTAACTGGCAACTCAGTTCGTTCTGTAAGGCTTCACAATTTAAAAAAAGGATAATTTTCTTTACATGGCCTACGTCTACAACAACTTAAAACTTGTTTTGCGCTTTGTGGCAAATACATTGAGAGAAGCAGAATTAGCCTTTCTGTCACAGAAGGTATCTGAAGTGAATTCTTCCTCTCTGACAGGGACATAAGTGCATTGTCAAGTGGTGGTGCTTCTGGTGAAAGTTTTAACATTATCAGCATTACATTCAAATCCTAAAATATGTTTAACATTAAGTGTAATCTCTGTGTTTGTTTATAAAATGACTACAATTATCAAATCTTAGAGCTTTCAGCAATTACCTGAGTAAGGCAGGGGTGTTCAGCTCTGTCCTGGAGGGCTGATGTCTAGGACAGTTTGGTGATTTTTTCTGCTCAAACACATCGATTCAACACATCTGTTAATTTCCAGGTTTAGGATATGTTTGAGTAGGGGGATTATCAAACTGTTCTGGACACCAGCTCTTCAGAACCAGAGCTGAACACCCTTGGTGCCAGTATTTCTGGAATGTTTTCATAGTTGGCATAGTGACTGAACATATTACATTTTATTCCTATTTATTTCCTGTACAGATCAAGTGTACACTGCAATTAAGTTACATTTTTTGGAAAATCAAGAAAAACAACTATTCAACTAGTCAATGAAATACCATGCCATTTTCCCCTGATGACGAAAATACCTCCAAGTTCTTCATATTTTTCATCCTCTTCCACATTTCTTCCTTCATCATTATCAATTAGCTCCATCTCCTCTGCAAAAAACAATGTATTGACAAAATGTCAATTAATAAGGCTTGTAGATAACAACGTTAAAACGTCTGTACTGTTGTATCATTGTGAATGAGTAAATAATTGACTGGATAATAAAAATAAAAAACACAGAGACTGTTAT